CTAATGCTTAAATGTATAATATTTATTCTGCAAAACTGGCCAAGCAAAAAATAGTAAAAACATGCAAAGATACTGGCCAATTTCTGAGTGGAAATCCATGGAAAGGCAGCTATTATAAAGAAACTGATCACTAAAGGATTTTTTTTATGTCCTGTGTTGGTGAGTATCCACACCTTAACTGCCACTGAACTCTGCCTGAAGCCAGATTACAGCACCACTTCTTTCCATGTTATGCTGTCAAAAGGTAAGGCTGATCTGTGAAGCTGTGTGAATGGCTGGAATCTCCCATGGGATTGAGGGTCCCTTTCTCTGCAAAATCCCAGATTCTTGGGGTTGAGAGGCTACATCCTCTGCCCTTCATATGATGCTACTATTCCTGAGAGGACCATCTGAAAGAACCTCATGTGATGGATTTTTTTTACCTATCTATTCCCCTCACTAGAAAGCAAAAGGTAGCACCAAAACGTTAAAAAAATTGTTACTTATTATTGTCACTTTGAGGAAATCTTTCAAATCTTTCCACATTTAAAACAGTGATCTGTCAATTTGTTTCCAATCCCATTTTCTATATTTTGAAAACATTTGTTTTGGAGTGGCAATCCAGTCATCCTTATAATTATTTTGGCATCTATTTAGTGCCAAAAAACATGCATAAGACTGTGCTGGTAGAGCATAGGGTAAGCCCTCACCTTGAGGAATTTGCAATCTGAGCATAGACAAAATGTGCTGAAAGATCACAACAGAAAGGAGATCTGGGCAAAGGAACAGTAAGCTCCACAAGCGCACCATGCTCAAGGGTCAAGCTGCTGGCAAGTCGTCAAAAAGTCAGAAGATGAGAAGGCAGAAAGGAATGTGACTGGGACAATCCTGCACATGTGCAAATCTGCATTTGTCATAGCACTAGCACCAAGCAGCCTCCAAACTGGGAAGGTACAAATTACCTCCCTTCTGTCTATGCACCAGGTCCAGCAGGGCTAAATTTCCCACAGTGATTGGTTCAGGCAATGGCAACATGGCTCCTTTGGTTAGCTCCTTTTGGCTCTGTTTCTTTTAAACTTTATATGCTTTACTACTGGTTCTATAATACTGTATAATATAATTATTGGAGGGTAGGTTATCCATCTGTGGAAGAAAGGAGCCTTTCCTTTTATTTAATAATTTTTAAAAAAACTACTAGGGGACTGCACCTCTTGCTCACAACGCTCAACCTCCCTCTCCCGTCTGGCCACTACGCTCGCCATCCCTCTCCTCCCCCCCGTCCCGGCCACTATGCTTGCCAACCCCCCTTTATCCCTCCAAAAACCCCAATCCTCACTCATGTGGGCCCCCAGCTGAAACACCTCACTCCCCTGGTGCTCCAGTCCCATGGTTGGGGGAGGGCAGGGAGGACTGCGGTTTAAGGCCTCAGGACAGATTAACTCTTCCAGGGTTCCAGGGTTAGTGGTTATTGTGGGCCCCCTAGGTTCTGGGGTGGGGGCAAAAATGAGGGATTCAGTGTGAGGGACAGGGCTGCCAGTGAGTGGGATAGGAACGGGGGTGCAGAATCGGTGTGGGAGTTAGGGTGTAAGAGGGGTGAGGGTGCAAGATCTGGGTGGGTGGTAGGGTGCAGGAGCAAGGGAGCGTGGAGGAGCAGGTTGGGGATGGTTAGCGTGTCTGGCTGGGGGGAGATGCAGGAGCAAGGGAGGGTGCAGGAGCAGGCTGGGGCAAGGTGTCTGTCCAGGAGGGAGGGTGCAGGAGTGGGCTGGGAGTGCAGGATCTTGGTGAAGGGGGGTGTGAGTTGGAGGTAGATGAGGGTGCAGGGTCTCAGCTTGGGGGATATGAGTGAGGAGGCTGGGGATGCGGGTTCTGGGCATGAGGGGAGGGGAGCCACTTACTTGCTTTCATGTGTCTCCCAACACCATGCCCCAGGCACCGACTCCTGCTGCTCCTATTTGCCAGATTCCAGAGCAGTAGGAAAAACCTCCAGGAAGATCATCCCTGCACTTCCGTTCCCCTAGCCGGGGGAGAGGGAAGTGAAGCAGCAGCATGCACAGTGCTTCTAGCTGTGCTTCTTCCCCACAAGCCAGATCTAGTGGGGAGCCTTAGGGCTTTCTCCGCCAGCACTGGCACGTCAACCTGGTGGGGGGAAGGGTGATGGCCACAAGGCTGCAGCACCAGCACGGGCTCCCTGCTGCAGTGGAAGCAAGAATGGGGCTGAGCTGGAACTGCAAAAGAGCCATATTTGGCTCAAGAGCCATAGTTTGCCAACCCCAGCAATCCCTGGCTGTCCAGCTGCACCCAGCGTGGAGTGGGACTCTCACCCACAACACTGCGCTCCCCAGACAAATACCTGGCAGAGGAGGTGGGGCTTTCACAGCCTGAGAGAGTGATGATGTCATTCTGCCATCCGACAGGAAAATCTTTTTTATATGTAGATAGGGGTGAAACTTTAATGGACTGTGATGGGGTGGACTAGACTCCACATCCCCCTCCTGAAAGCTTGTGGCCTCACCACACCTGGCCCCAGGAAAATAGCAGGAGAGAAATCCCCCAGACAGAAGCAGCCAATCAGGGCCCAGCAAGCCAATATAAAGAAGTTGCCAGGCCAGATCCAGGCAGTTATTCGCTGGAGCTCAGGTTATGTAAACTGAGGAACTGGCTGACTGGGAAAGCAGCAGCAGTACCTTGGACAGGTCAGTGAGGGGAGTGAATTGCAGATCAGGCTGAAGCCCAGGATCTGCTAATGAAGACTGGGTATGGCTGATAGGAAGAGCTGCAGAATCCTGGACAGGATGCTGCTGGTACTTAGAGACAAAGCCCTGAGGTGAGGGCAAGGATGGTGCACACCATGAGGAAGTGGCCCAGGGGGAGAGAATAGCAGTGAAACTTCAAGGACCAGCACTTAGCAGATAGCTGCTATTTACAAGGTTCCTGGGCTGGGACCCTGAGGAGTGGGTGAGGCTGGGTCCCCCCATCCCTTAACTAGCTACTGGGGGGCACGAAGAAGTCTGGTCCAAGGCAATCCAGAAGAAGGGGCATTTGGGACACCAGCCACTCCTGGAGCTAGAAATAGGAGATGTAGACACATGCCCTCAGCCAAAGAGAGTGCTGCGAGAAAGGGTGAACACTGAACTTGAAAGTCACAATTCTGCCTGAGACCTAAATCCTGCCATTGTTTGTGCACCCTTCCACACACACCCTGCAAAATCAGAGCATACATTTTTGATAGCATAACACAGATTCAGAACTCAGTAGTACTTAAAGTGAAACCAACCCACTGAGCTCCCGAGTAAAGGCCATGCATTCTGGTGGGGTGGGTGGGCATAAAGATAACTCCTTACTGTTTGTTGATATGCAAATGACAGCTTTTTGTGTGTAGTCTATATGTATTTAGTTTCCTCTGTTTCTGTGGGTCATTTATGCAACAACAAGGGAGAACTGATTAGATTTAAAGTTGACAATGTCCCTTGATTCCAGATTTGAGCTTTCTTAAAATTCAGGGATGGTTGGATCAGCTTTGGCGTGTTATAGCATTGAAGTCATTTGTTCAGTTCAAATCTGGATATACTGTAAACTTCACAGAGTTGGGAACTTCACCAGGAGTAAGACAGGAAGATCTGGGCTCTTGGTTTGGGCCCAGTCAGCTCCCTAGGAAATGGCATGGTGTCATTTTCCAAATGCCTTGCAGCTGAGACAGAAATGCTGTGAGTAAGTGGGTGTAAAGACTGAAGGGAGTTGACATTGTTGACCTCACATTTTAATATAATTCCAGATTGTTTCAGGGCCTCCCATCAAATCTCTTCCTTTATTCCTATTTCTAGGGGGGGAAAGCCTCCAACTTGCACATGAGATTTCAGGGGATGCAGCATCCAGAGGCAGCACTTGCTGCAGAAGAGAGAAGCTATGGTTGCTGCTGCTGTCACAGCAAACAGCACCAGATGAAGAATAACTGCAGTCCAAAGACATCAGCCAATCTGAGTGGGGGGGTGAAGGAAACACCCCCAACTTCTCCATAAAGATACAAGCTAGCTGGGGGAGGAAGGAAGAAGAGAACAAATGAGGAGGTCAATGGACTCAGTTAAAGTAAAACCAACCCTCTGAGCTCCCCAGTCAAGTTCATGCAATTGGGTGGGTTGAGCGAGTGTAAATCTGGGCCTTCTTTTGAATCAAAACAGAACAGTATTTAGACTTTAAACCTGCAGCTTCCCCTGAAAATGCAGGCCGGAAAGGGCACAAAGCTCTTGTCTCTGATTTCTGATCCCTTTAGGCAGTTAATGATTTGCTTGGCTTTCTTTTTAACCTCTCTTGTGTCTCCTCTCTGCTGAAAGCTTAGACCAGATGCACAGGTACCGTGTTCAACTAAGGAATGCGGAATGACACCCTTTATTTTTTCACTTTATTTTCTGTCTGATTTGGTTTTCACTCTGTTTGTTGCACACCACAATATAGGCCAGGGCAGTGTGTGGTCTGTAGCGATCATGTATTTTTTTTGTTAAGTACGAATAGGAGGAAGTCCTTCACTGTGCAAGACACAATGAAAACAGTCCCTATATGGGGGATTAACACGTGAGCAATAAATCCACCCACCCAGCCTTCCCCCCAACTTTCTGGGGTAACCTTCACACCCAACATTTGCCTAAGAAGACAAAGAAATATGGGAGGAAGCTCTCTGTTTGCCAATAAGGGAACTTCAGTTCACTTTATAGCACAGAATTTAGGCTGAAAAGGACAAATTACTGATTCCTCCCTGATTAAATACCAGGAGCTTAAACCCCATACTAGACAAGACACTCCAGTCCATAATTTCCCATGCTTTACACATGAAAAATATTAACAAGGGATGTACTTCTGTACCACAGATCAATGAACCATCCTCTGTTGCCCACATCCACATTTGAGAAACAGTACATAAGAGGAAGGCTGTAGACATGAATGTCTGTGGTCACACATAGAAAGTAAACACACCAGATGTGGCTCCTTAATGGATACCAATCCCCCCCTCACAGTTAACTTATCCATACCGTTTTTTTGTGCAATAGACCTTATTTTGACTCCCAAATACAATGCCAGACTGTCCCACAGTGTAGATGTATGTGAGAAAAGCTCCCTCACAGATAGGTCTCTGTTGCTCTGCGCCAAAGTGGAGCGCATGCAATTCTGTGGCATTATCCTTCACCTCATCTCTTCCTGGAATCTGTGAGGAAGAGAGAGAGAGAGTGAGTCAGGGTAGACAAGGGGCAAGCCAGCTGCCTGGAAGCGCCTGTCAATCCCCCCCCCACACACACACACACATCTCAGCCACCTCGAAGTGACACAGGAAAGCTAACTCCCACTCAATTAGTAATAACTTTTCTGAAGCTCCCCTTCAGGGGTGCTCAGAGTCACTGTGGTGTGTCACATAAACCCGATCCTAGCAGAGTTAGATAACATGGTGCTTATAACCCTGACTAGCTCCTGGAGCCCCGTCCATACTAGCTTTCCCACCATTGCTACTACTGGTGAAAGGGAACCAGTGAAGGAAATTTTAGTGCATTGTTGATGCCTTCTAGAGCAGGTAAGAATGGATTTCCCACTATCCCTCTCAAGCAGTATGTCATTTTCTGAGAGCAAAGACAGGGAGTAGAAGCTCCAAAGACATAATAAAGAGTAAATATTTAAAAGCAAGTAAC